CAATAGGTCAAGGAGGGCTAGATTAAGCCCAGCAGACATAATAAGTGCAATCAATGCTATTCTCAGTTCTATAACCATGCCTGAAAAGGGTCTAATAACTCACTCACAGATTGTCCAAATCTGTTGGGTTCAGTGATGATCTCTTGAGTAGGGAGCACATTTTTACCTCTTTCAAAGCAGATGAAGCCACCCCTTCCCACAGAGAAGAATTTACCACTACTTGGATGCTATCTCCTGAGAAAATTTAATTGACATGATTTATGATGTAACTTTGACTAATTATTAATTGCATGATATTAATTAAATGAACCTGATGATAAGAATATGTGTTTTTGCTTGTTTTACATCTCCTTAACTATAGGAGGATATTACTGGATGTACATCAAACAGCTTTTAAAATACTGATTTGGAAAATTTGTAGGTAGTTGTTCTCTTGCATATATTTTTCGGATGTTTCTATTCATTATAAAATTAGCTCCAGTCACTGTTCTTAACATACAGCTAAACATGTAGTAGGGAATAACTCTTAGTTTTACTCATCAATCAGAGACCAATCCTCAGCAGTCTATACCAATCAGAAACCATCTCAGCTAAGGGCGATCAGAAGTTAGGACACTTGGAGAAACTGGAAGCATTGTGGAGAGACTGGCTGGAAATTAGCGGGCTCCGATGAGCCCAGCAAAAATCCAGCCAGATAAACCACTGTTGGGGGGGGGGTCTTCAGACTGGAACCATCTTGTAGAGATGGTGAAGAAGGAGAGGCGCCTCAGATGACCAAGAGGAACAATCAAGTTCCTCGGAAGGTCGGAGGCAGCTCTTCAATCTGGCGGAGGGGACGGCTGCCATTAAAAACAACTGCTTTGAAGCTGAGGCAACCGGAATAACATTTTGTGCAGGAGCGGTGTTTGGACGGAGTACTAGTACTGGGTGAGTGATTGGCCAACTCACAGGTAATAAAGGAAAATTCTTTTTTTAAAAAAACTTTAAAATATCCTGGCAAGGAAACAAGTGGCTAATTGGCACTTGGGAATTTTAATGGAGGGAAAAGAGGAAGTCAAAGTATTAAAGCCCAGAAAAGAAAACTTTACATTTGGATTTAAAATTGGACTTGGAGAAATTAAAACCAATATAAGAAAAGGAAACTCGAGAAAAATCACTTTTTAATGAGGATTTGAAAGAATTTTGACAGTTTTGAAGTATGAAGGAAGAACAAAGAGGAGGTTAACATATTAAAGGCTAAGAAAGGAAATTTTACAACTGGATTTAAAACTGAATTTGGAGAAATTAAAAACAATAAAAGAAAAAGCAATTTGAGATAAAGTATTTTTTAATGTGGATTTAAAATACTTTTATAAACTGGATACTTTGTTGTTCTGAGAAGTATGAATTGGAGAGAGACATTTGCTGGTGGAAAGAAAGCACTACAATGACCGACCTGGAAATTCAAGGAAATTACAACAGTAACCTAAATCACCACAAAAACTGTGAGAAATTTTAAAGAGTATTTGTTTTGTTTTAAGCTGCTTGGTGGTGGACAAAGGAGGTGAACAATAATAAAGCTTTAAATTGGAGTGGATTGAACAAACATTTGTACTGGATATTATCTAGAAATAAAAAGAGACTATATGAACTAAAATTTTAATTAAATATAAGTAGAAATACTAATGATCTTTTAAACTAATAATATGGAGTCTTGGATGTGAGGAATTAATTGCGATGCTTAAAAACGTGCGTGAATCAATAAAGGGCAATAAAAAGTCAGAAACTTTGTTAGAGGAGAAGTCAGGATACCTGACTATATAGGTGAATCCCCGGTCAGTCCAGGATCATTTGTTGATGGTCTGCATAGTAGATCACTTTTCCTCTGAAGATGTGAACCACAGTTGCCAGTGAAATGTCAGGAAGTCTATTTTCTAGACTATGTTCACTAAATGCTGAAGCTGAACACTGTCCAACTAATTTAAATGCAACCTAGTTAGAGTGCCTCCTTTCCTTATTTCTTTTACTTTTTTATTGTCACCTCTATTTCTTTTCTTCTCTCTCTTATATTAGTCCAAATTACTTCTCAAAAATGGACCTGAGACTCTTTTGTTTCTGTATAATGCTTCATTTTTTATTTCTCAAAAGGAGTAAATATATCATTTTGCTAAGCCACTCTGAAAAGTTATGCTACAAATGTTAGGAGATTTACTGTTAAATCTTGTTAATGGAAGCCTGACAAAATAAATTTAACTTTTCACATATTCAGGCTTATCACTGCATTTTAACAGTACTGGACACTGCAAATATAATGGACTAGAACATTATTATTGACTAGGATCAAGTTTGTTCAGGGATCATTTTCAGTATTTGCGTTACAACAATACAGTACATTCAGAAAATATTGGGTCATAATATTTTCTGAATGACCTGTATTTTCACCCTATTTCCTGAGAAAAAAATTGCATTATGTGATATACAGTTTAAAGTATGGATATATCTTTTCTCTAATAAACTTCACTATTCATAGTATTAGTTCTTCAAATTAACTCATTTTGAGGAAACCAAATATACATTTTACCAATATTAACAACAAAATTGGGTGATTTCCTTTAGAGTGCTTCTTCACAGTTAATTCAACTCAAGCATTTGTTATTGTGTCTGTTTCATGTAGATGCTATTAGTGCTTTTAAAGTTCTATATCCAGCCATTATAACATGCTTCATGATCTAGCATTGTGTAATGAAGTGCAAATAAGATTCCTCTGCTTCCACCACCCTATCAGAGTAAGCAAAAAGCTAGCTTCTTATGAGTTCCGGGTTCAACCATTAGGCAACAACAGACAACAGTTTCTATGAACTGACTGAAGATATTTAGAAATAATAATAATATTAATGATATTAATGATAACTAATAATAATAATCTCCACAATTATCTTCCAAATCTGTTTTAGAAATAACACAGACAATAACTTGAAAAGGAAATAAAACCTGAATTTTTTGTTATATAAATTATTCTAAATATGATATCATTAAAAGGCTACTACCAACCATAATACATTTACTGAAAATCTTTTATATGCCAGTGTATAAACATGACTGTGCAAAGCATTCGAAGAAATTTACATTTTGGGAAGACGTGGGATGACTACTTATGCAATTATTTCATTGGACTGGCCATTTAATTTCTTTCTTATTTTCTTTCAAAACTCACCTATATCTCAACAAGATGCTAAATCCATTTGGGTCAGTTACAAGACAGATTAGTATTAGAACTAGGACAATTAAATATCATTGCAAAAAGAGAACAAAACAAAAATTCTTCTAGCTTTGCAGAGTATATGCCTTCAAGACTAATTAGAAATTCTTTATTAAAAGCTTCTCTACTGTGTCCTTAAGGGAAATTTATAACTGCTATTAATGAACGCTACTAGCTTTGGAAACTGCCCATATAATTATAGTGCTGAGTTCATCATAACCATTTAAAGAATCATTGAGGTGGTAGATTGTAGAAATTCACAAAATTAGCAATTAGCAATAGAAAAAAAGTGATCCTTGAAAGAAAGCTGGTTTTGTATATGTATATGACAATTTAAAATCCTATTTTGCAAGTATCATAATGTTAGTTATTGTGCTGATAAAAACACATGCTTAGATAAAAATATATTGAATATATTTGATTTTCTTATGTTTTTCTATGTCAGCTTGTCCATCAAAGCTTGTGATTCTTTTAATCATGATCCCATAGTACACTGAGTACAATTTATGTAATTTAAAAAGCAATCTATATATGAAATCATACAATGAAATTAGTCTTGTTCTTGAATAAATTGTATAAGATTGCAATCTAAATCACATTAATTACACATAATTCAAAGTGAAGAGCTATACCAAAATGAGTGCCAAGAAATGAATCAACAAAATTACCTGATCCAATTTCTGTTTGGAAACTTAAATATTCAGTCCATATTATGGAAGTTAAAAAGTAGACTCCAAAAGTAGACACCAAAAGTAGAACATTAATTTCGTCTGAAGACAGTTTTCTGTCCCAGAAAAATGCTACTGTTCTGTCATATACACTAGACAGAAGAATTGAACTGGGATCTAATAGAAAGCTTGCTGCCTGCAAGGGTATAAATATAGATAATATGAAATTGTTTGTGCATAAGAATATTTATTGTGGTGTTGCTACAATTTTCACAATACAGCTTCTCCATGAGAATGCATCTGTTTAGTAAACTTTCATTTGTTTATGAAATGTGTTCCTATATTTGGTGGCTGCTCTTTCTCCCTACTTTTTTTCCCACTCTGTCCATGACCCAGTATAGCTAAAAGCATAATGAACTGGAAACCTGTACTCCCCAAAATAATCTAATTTGTTTATACCAATAATAAAAAATCCAAAATAAGATTACTAAAGTTATGTTCATGGAACTCTCTCAGTCTAGATTACAGTCTATTCCTGAGGGATCCTTGATGCTCTCTGAGCTTGGTTGATGTCTTGCAGATGTTTCATTTCCCAAACAACATAACATCAACAGTGCTAGTGATAATGCAGTGACACTAGCACTGATGAGTTTACTCTTTTGGGCAATGAAATGTTTGCAAGTAAACAACCAAGCCCAGAGAGCACAAGGATGCTTTATTTTAACTCTGAGTTACAGATATTCTCCTTTATTAGCCTGTTCCTGTTTAGAACTGTTTACAAATGCCTGGCCAGGGTTATAAATTGCTACTCTTGAAAAAATCAGTTCAACATTCAGGAACTAGATAACAACAGGTGCTTCACATGATTTGATACTTCTAGGTAAGAAAGAAGTTCCCTGAAGAAAGAAGTCAAACATACACCAAAAATACACTAATGCAGAACACACAAATCAAGTGACATATAAATATCAGCTCCAAAATTTAAAACTGAAACCTTTTCTTCTTTTCTTTTAAAGGAATGGACTTTGGATGATTCTTTTCCCAACCTGAGACAAGGAGGCACTTACTCAAAGTTGTAACCTAACCTCAATACCAGGGAAGATTCTGGAAAAGATAATCAAGCAATGAATCAGTGAACACCTAGAAGCAAACAAAGTAATAACCCAAAGCCAACATGGGTTTGTCAAAAACAGATCATGCCAGACTAATCTTATTGCATTCTTTGACAAAGTGACAAAATTAGTGGACCAGCGGAATTCTGTCGATATAATTTACTTGGACTTCAGTAAGGCATTTGATAAAGTAGACCATAACCTACTATTAGATAAAGTAGAAAAATGTGGGTTAGACAGCATCACCACCAGATGGATTCATACCTGGCTGACCAATCACACTCAACGTGTAGTCCTCAATGGGACTGCATCTACATGGAGGGAAGTATGCAGTGGAGTACCCCAAAGCTTGTTTTAGGTCCAGTACTCTTCAACAACTTCATCAATGACTTGGAGGGGATAGATGAGGAACTTATCAAATTTGCAGATGACAATAAGCTAGCAGGAATAGCCAACACTTCAGAAGATAGGCTTAAGATACAGAAGGATCTTGACAGACTTGAACATTGGGCACTATCTAACAAAATGAAATTCAATGGTGAAAAAAGTAAAGTTCTACATTTAGGCAAGAAAAACAAAATGCACAGGTACAGTATATATGGTACCTTGCTCAATAGTAGTAACTGTGACAGGGATCTTGGAGTCCTAGTGGACAACCATTTAAATATGAGCCAGCAGTGTGCAGCAGCTGCCAAAAAAGGCAACACAGTCCTAGGCTGCATAAACAGAAGGATATAATCAAGATCACAAGAAGTGTTAATACCACTTTATAATGCCTTAGTAAGGCCACACTTGAAATACTGCATTCAGTTTTGGTCACCACAATGTAAAAAAGATGCTGAGACTCTAGAAAGAGTGCAGAGAAGAGCAACAAAAATGATTAGGGGACTGGAGGCTAAAACATATGAAGAATGATTGCAGGAACTGGGTATGTCTAGTTTAATGAAAAGAAGGACTAGGGGAGACATGATAGCAGTGTTCCAATATCTTAGGGGTTGCAACAAAGAAGAGGAAGTCAAGCTATTCTCCAAGCATCTGAAGCCAGGACAAGAAGCAATGGGTGGAAACTAATCAAGGAGAGAAGCAACTTAGAGCTAAGGAGAAATTTCCTGACAGTTAAAACAATTAATCAGTGGAACAACTTGCCTCCAGAAGTTGTGAATGCTCCAACATTGGAAATTTTTAAGAAGATGTTGGATAACCATTTGTCTGAAGTGGTGTAGGGTTTCCTGCCTAAGCAGGGGATTGGACTAGAAGACCTCCAAGGTCTCTTCTAACTCTGTTATTCTATTCTGTTCTAAAGTTGATGTAATAATTCTGTCTTGATGGATTAACATGTGCCTAGGCCTTAGAGAACTTAATACACATAGTTAATGAGTGATCTTAATGTATCATCTTAATTGTGAACTACTGTTTCTCGTAACTTAAAGTCAGATCATATAGAAAGAAAAAAAATGGGTTTGGGATGGGGGGGGGGAAACACACATTTATGGAAGAACCAGCAAAAGTTAAAGTCAAATGAGAAAATAGTAAAAAGCAATAAAAATTAGACACATATACATTTTCTTAGCTAAAGATACCAAGGAGAAAAAAAAGGCAATATGTGTAAAGGGTTCAGAAAAAACAAAGAGAAGGAAAAATAGAAATATTAGAATATTACCTCCTATATAATATAGAAAATGCAATAGAGCATAACATTGGTCAGTGAAAAATCATAGGCTATCAGGCAGAAGCTTCATTGGAAAACATGTCATTAACTCAGAGGCTGCACCAATCTGTTTACTCCAGTGAAGCTTCATGTTCAGTACTGGAAAGTAGAAATCATGTTATTGCTTGTTATTCTTAAAAAAAGAATAAGTGTTTTCCTCAAGGTATCTCTAGGCTTAATTTACAGGCCAGTTAAAAATGCAGATACAGTGGATAGGATGCAAAGCAGTGGTGAAATATAAAATTTGTTACTACCGGTTCTGTGGGCATGGCTTGGTGGTGGTGGGTTAATGTGACTGGGTGGGCGTGGCCAACTTTTTTTTTTTTACTTTTAAAACCATTTTTTCTACAACCTCTTCAGCCAAAGAGGTTGTAAAAAAAATGCATTTAAAAGCCTCTGACGATCCCAGCTGAGTTGCCTGATCATCAGAGTGTTTTTTTTACTTTAAAAATTTTTTTTCTATAACCTCTTCAGCTGAAGAGGTTGTTAAAAACATGCTTTTAAAAGCCTCTGATGATCCCAGCTGAGCCGCGTGATCATCAGAGGCTTTTTTTTACTTTTAAAAGCATTTTTTTGGCCGAAGAGGTTGTAGAAAAAATGGTTTTAAAAATAATAATAAAAAGCTTTTGATGATTGCCCGGCTCAGCTGGACATGGGGGAGGGCAGGGATTTTTGCTATCTGAACTGGGGTGAAATGCTCCCGGTTCAGATCGAATCGCCCGGTTTAAAAGCATTTTTTCAGCCAAAAAAATCTTTTAAAAGTAAAAAAAAAGCCTCTGATGATAGCGCGGCTTAGCTGGGATCATCAAAGGCTTTTAAAAGAAAAAAACCCTTTTTTCTTTTAAATGCCTCTGACGATTCAAGCTGAGTTGCCTAATCGGCAAAGACTTTTTTTCTTTTAAATGCCTCTAACGATCAGGCAACTCAGCTTGGATCGTCAGAGGCATTTAAAAGAAAAAAAGGGGTTTTTTTTCTTTTAAATGCCTCTGATGATCCAAGCTGAATTGCTTGATCAGCAGAGGCACAAATTTTAGATTTCACCACTGTCTCTGAATCATCAGCCGCCATCGCTACCAAATCGGGCGATCCAGTCCGAACCGGGAGCATTTCACCCCAATGCATAGTATGTACAATAACACTAGCCTGATTACGTTAGGTAAAATATTACATCTGTAATAATATTTCATGAAAATATACTGGCACATTACAGAAGCTCATTCTTCCAAACTAAAAGGAATGTTTTGCAAATCCACAATTTCATGTGTTTTTCAATTTATTTCAAAGTTTCAATTACGACAATATAATTTTTTTGCAGCAAAAGTATGGGATGAAGAATTGAAATCCGTGCATCTTAAATTTGCAAGCTTGAGAAACATTGTTCTAATCTATTCACAACTTTTGAAAACCAGCATCGATGCGAATTCCCTTAAAAATTTACTTGCAAAATAATGCAGCCTTTCATAAAACATGATTGGCCAGTGTTTGAATTAGTGAACTTTTCAGAAGGAGGAAATGAATCTATTCTGGGAGTGCCTGAACTCTCAAAATAATAGCACAAGAAGTGTTTTTATAGTTATATTTGCTACTTGATACATATTTCATTTTTTATTGTCTTGTTTAAAGACTGTGCCTTGGGAAATTCTTGCTTAGATTATCACAATGAATTGTATATAAGTCAATCTTTGAGCATGGTCTGGAATCTTTGTTTCCCAGCTCAATTTCACATTTTATTAAATCATAAAGCTGTTTATAGCTTGGCATGGAAGTATTGCAATGACATTATCTTTCTGAATGTTTTTTTACCCATGGCAAAGGATACATGCCATTATCTCCACAGATAAAAATTTAAACCTAGCAAGAAAAGTATGGAGTGATTCCTTTATTCATAAATGATTAGTATGTTGAATGGCAAAGAGGTTATGAAAAGACATGAAAGAATGAGGGAAAATAGAGAGAAAGAGTCAGACAGACAAAATGGATCTCCTCTCCAATCACTTGTTTCTAGGAGTAAATATAAATTTAGAAGAAACTCTATATTGGTCTAAATAGAATTGATTCTTGGTTTGAATAAAAACAATTCCGTGCAAAAAGTGCACGCAGATCAACTCAAAATGAATTAGTTATTCAACTGTTTCTATTTGAAAGACACGGAGCATCATTACACTAAAAATTTATGGATAATATATTGAACATCAGAGATATGGACTAAATATCTACTATTTCTGGATCTGATCTTAGTTACTACTATATTACATACACAGTAACCTTTATCCATGATTTGTTGTAATCCATGATTTGTTATAATACAAATCGGCCGTGACCGGGAGGATTTTTCATCAGGTTCGCCTGATTCGCCAATTGCGTCCCTTTCTGAATCAGGACTCCTTACGCACGGTCACTCATGCCCTCGTCACCTCCCGCCTGCACTATTGTAATGCTCTCTACATGGGGCTCCCCTTGAGGAGCACCCGGAGGCTCCAACTGGCGCAGAGTGCGGCCGCGTGGGTGGTAACGGGAGTGACTTGGCGTTCCCATGTAACACCCCTCCTGCGCGAGCTGCACTGGCTCCCGGTGGTCTTCCGGGTGCGCTTCAAGGTTTTGGTTACCACCTTTAAAGCGCTCCATGGCTCAGGATCTGGGTACTTGTGGGACTGCCTACTACCACCAATAGCCTCCCACCGGCCGGTACGCTCCCATAGAGAGGGGCTCCTCCAGGTGCCGTCAACCAAACAATGCCAACTGTTGGCCTCCAGGGGGAGAGCCTTCTCTGGGAGGGCATCTACTATCTGGAACGAGCTCCCCCCGGAGATACGGAGGATCCTGGATCTGCACACCTTCTGCCACGCTCTAAAGACCTTTTTATTTCACCAGGCGGGCCTGGCCTAATTTTTTCCCTCTTTTATAAAAGAATTTTTAATTTTTTTAGTATTTTATATATTCAAATTTTAAAATTGGTTTTAAATTGATTGGGGTTTTAATTTGTGTGGGCCAAAACTATTTAATTTGATTTTAATTCTGCTTTTAAATTTTGTATGTATGGATTTTATTATTGGCTGTTCACCGCCCTGAGTCCTTCAGGAGTAGGGTGGTATAGAAATAAAATAAAATAAAATAAAATAAAATAAAATAAAATAAATAAATAAATAAATAAATAAATAAATAAATAAATAAATAATAGTAACATTGAGATTCAGCTCCTATAGGAATAATATTATTAGTAGCTATTGTTGTCTGTCCATAAAGGTTGCTCAGTAAGAGAGACTTCTAGGCATTATTTTATTTAT